AATTCACACTATAAAAAATACCTTAAACACCAAATAAGCAGTATCTTAACAGCACCATACCTCCTAGTAAGGGCTTGGTGATGCCATCACATTTTAGAAGCAAAGAATTTTAGTTTCGAGAGCATTACAGACAGCTATAGCTTTCTGTATTCTTATACTAGTTGGAAGATTACACTGATAGGAGGCAAGGTTGTAAGCACCTGATTATTTCCAGGGAAAAGTAAGAATGTAAACTTCTAAATGTCATTGGTCATAGGCACTGTGAGTGGGAGTTAATGCTTGACAAAGGAACTTCATATTTTCAGCTCAGTTTAGAAAGAGCAAAAAATAACTTAAAAGAAAATCTATATGGATCAGACGGCAGAAAGGAGGCAATAAATTAAAAAATTAAGCAAAATTGTCTTCCGTATTTAAGAATACTTTTTTGCACATTCGTTTTTTTGTCCTCTTAGGCAGTGATCATCTTCCTTTCAGACTGTTAGCAGCCTGATAAAATAATGAACGAGCTATGTACGTGAAAATCCTTTTTTATTGGAAAACTAGGGGTCCTGTCTTCTGCCCCCAAGAGGTTTATGCCACTGATTTTGAACAAGGCATTTCTTTTTCCTTTTTTTTTTATCCTGAGCAGTTTACTGCCCTGATTTTGACTCTTACAATCAAATGTCTGACAATCATGGACTTTCCAATGTCTGAGTCTTTGTAGGGTAGATTTTTCATCATCATTTTTTTAATATACCTGACCTTCTTCACAATAATTGGATCATTTTCTGGCCATAGTACCTTTGGGATTAATTTCTCAAAGAGGGCTGCAGGGTCATTTCTTAGCAGCCCTCCCCTCTACCACCCTGTACCCACCGAACTGCCAGCTTTGAATTCTGAGCTGGTCTTCTCAATTCTCCAAGGATCTTTGGGGATATATTTTTCTGCTAATATTACTCTCAAGCGTTCTCACAGTTATTGGGCTCTTTGACCCAGAACATAATGTCTCTTATAAACTCATCTCTTTTCCCAAACAGTGATGGTGGCTTATAAGGTAACTACAAAGAGAAGGTAAGAATCTGACATTTGTCCAGATGAAATGAAGTATAGAGGGTAAGCTGGTATCTTCAAACTCAAGGATGTTACTACTATGATAATGCTACGTGTACATATGCATGCCATATAGATACCATATATCTGCAAATGCTCCATCCTTTTTCACCACCTCCTGCAAAGCCTCTTCTCTAACTGCCTAGCAAATCATGCCAGAGACCACTCCTGGGAGGATTTCTGCCCTGGAGCCCTACTCTGCTTATTGGTGATTGCCTCTCCAGTTCCTCTTGAGGAACTATTTCAGGAAAGCCCTAGTTATGCTTCACTTTTGCTTTCTCTTTACCCAACACCTCCTCCACACTCTCCTTTCCAACTGCCTGGCTCCACCTATACCCTTGACTCACTTCCAGTTTTGGAGCCATGAAACATGATCATTCAAATTAAATCAAATCAGTCATTATCTTCTCCCCCTGGTCCTCCTATCCCAGTTGCCAACCAAGATGCCCCTTGCCAGGCATTACTGTCCTATGCATGTAGTTTCTCCCATTAGAATGTAAGCACGGTTAGCTAGGTGGCTCAGTGGATAGAGCACTGGCCCTGAAGTCAGGAGGATCTGAGTTCAAATCTAGCCTCAGACCGAACACTTGACACTTACTAGCTGTGTGACCTTGGGCAAGTCACTTAACCCCAATTGCCTTAAAGAAAAAAAAAAAGAATGTAAGCAGTTTGAGGACATGGGGATTATCTTTGCTTTGCCTAGCATTTCTTGTGGCTTTTGGCACATAATAAGCACTTAACAAATACTCATTCATTCATACACCCAAGTTTCCAAGTCTTTCCTAAATCACATAACATTCAAAAGAGGAAAAGTAGCATTTTAGTCAAGATTAGTATTTTTCTTTCCAGGTAAAAAATTATTTGCCTATACTACTATATTTATTTGACAGATCTTTTTTTCTCTTTTTTTGTAGACCTACTGTAGTGACTTTATTCAATAATATGGGTAAGAGTTATCCAGGATAGACATGCATTGGTAGATTGTAATTTATAACATCAGAAATACAAACTCAAATTAATGAGCTCATGGATCCATTGTTGTATCTGAGTATTATTTCATTTTTGACAGCTAGTAGATATTAAACTTTACAAATATGGACAATGTAACAGAATATCTTTGCTATCTAAGATATTGCCTTTCCAGTGAGCCCATGACTAATTTTTTTTCCCTTGAACTGTATTATATTCACAGAGAATTTCAGAATAAGCCTGAGATATATGATTGTAAACATTCTCTCTTTTTTTTGTAGAGTGGGAAATGGAAGCATGATAGCAAACAGACAGAATGAGAGCAAGAGCCGCTTCCTACGGAGGGCGTCTAGACAGTGCTAACCATGTCATTTCTCTAATCTATAAAATACGTTGTCTTCATATCACCTCCTGGATCAAATACAAAATTCAAGAGATATTTTATGCCTAAAAGTAGATAAGATTGTTGAAGGGGAGTAGAAAATTATGGGGAGAAATTTTTGCTTTAAAGAAATCTAAAAATTAATTTAAAATAATAATAGCTAACAATAATAATTGATAAGTAATAAAAATTAAAAAAAACACTTTCATGTCTAATCTCTAGCCATTATCAGATTTTCTTAATACTTTGCTGTTGTTCGGTTACAACTGGGAAGTCCTTCCTAGCATCCCGTTCATAATGCCTAAGCCATTTCTTTTTTCAGTAGTGTTCACCGTCCATTCAAATATCTCTTCCTATAATGGAATTATGGATTCAGAACTGGAAGAGATCTTAGATGTCATTTAAAACCACCTCAATCCTCTCATTTTATAGATGAGGAAATTGAGGCCCAGAGAGGTTAAGGGATTTGTCTAAAGCTACGCAGGAAGTAAGTGGCAGAGCTGAGGTTCAGACCTGGTTTCTCTTTCTCCAGATCTAGGCGTTCTCCCCCCCTTTTTTATTACTTCCTCTCTAATTTATTCTTAGCCTACTTTTCTTGCAGCTTATTCCCTCTGAAGCTTGGTCTAGCCATCTATGGCATTGGCACACTGGACTCAGCTCCAGATAAATTCTCTCTCTCTTTTTTTTTTTTTTGCTTTTTGGTGAGGCAACTGGGGTTAAATGACTTGCCCAGGGTCACACAGCTAGAAAGTGTCAAGTGTCTGAGGCCAGATTTGAACTAGATCCTCCTGACTCCAAGGCTGGAGCTCTATCCACCCCAGATAAACTCTTGTGTGCTCTCTTGTTCCTGCTCCTTTGGAGGTTTGGCTCTTCTGAACTTCCAAGGCTCACAAGGTCACTGCCCTCTTTAATGCTCCTTCATCTGACAGTGGACAGAGCAGATACGATAGACAGAAGCAACAGCAGAGTCACGTCCTCGTGGTTGGGAGATAAAGGCTTCATGCAGCTCTCCATACACAGATGCTCCACAGGTATCTCCAACTCAACACAATCAGGATTAAGCTGACTGTCTTTTCTCCAATTTCTATCCTTCTAGTCACTCAGATTTGTGACCTTGTGGCCCCAGCTTTCCTTTAACTGCCTCCTCCATTCCTATGTTCAATCTGTTGGCAAAGGTCATCATTTCTGCCTATGTGGCATCTCTACCATTCATTCCCATCCTTTCCACTCATACAGCCACGATGTAATTCAGTGCCTCATCACTTTTCTCCTGGATTATTCTTTTTTTATTTTTATTATTTTTAAGCAATTGGGGTTAAATGACTTGCCCAGGGTCACACAGCTAGTAAGTGTCGAATGTTTGGTCTGAGGTTGGATTTGAACTCAGGTCCTCCTGCCTTCAGGGCCAGTGCTGTATGCACTGTGCCACCTAGCAGCCCCTCTCCTGGATTATTCTAACAGCCTCTTAATTGGTCTTCCTACTTTGAGTCTCTCCTCCACACAACTGCCAGAGTGGTATTCTGAAAGCTCCACCTGATCTGATGATGTCACTCCTCTGCTCAAGAAGGACTTCCATGATTTCCTGAGGAGAAACTACAAACTCTTTTCATTGGCCCTTAAAGGCCTTCACAATTGGGCTGCAAACTTCTTTTTCAGACCTGTGACACATTACTCCCACTTACAGTCAAAATGGCTCACTCACTATTCCCTGAACTTGACACTCCATTGCATGGCTGCCCAGGCCTCTACATAGTCTGTCCTTTCATATCCATGACCACCTCACTTCCGCCTATGAGAATACCTGGTTCCCTTCACAGTTCATCTCAAGTGCTATCTCCTGTATCAAGTCTAGCCTTATCATGAGAAACCTCCCCCTTTCCCAACTTCTAGTGCCTCCTCTCCCCAAATAACAGCAGTCCTATCTAGTATTTACATTGCAATTTAAGGTTTGAAAAACATTTATGTATACATATATATTATATATAAAATAATGTGTATATACCTACAAATGTGCGTGCACATGTGTGAAATCTCATTTGCTCTTCTCAACAACCTAGGAGTGCTATTATTATCCTCATTTTACAGATGAGTAAACAGAGGCAGGAAGAAGTCAAGTGACTTGGACCCCTGGTCACAATCTAGTAAGTGAGGCAGGATTTGACTTGGGTTTTCCTGACTGCAAGGTTAACCCTCTTAGCCCCTGCATCACTCAGCTGCTTGCATTTACCATGTCTATCTTGTGTGTCCATGTATTTTTTAAAAGGATATTTTCTTCAATAAAATGTAAATTCTTTAAAAGCAGGGTCTGTTTCATTTTGGTTTTTAAATCTTCAGTGTCTAGGAAAGTACCTGCCGTATAGATCATGCTTCCTAATATTTGTTGATTGTTATGACAAAGCTTTCTTATTTCCCCCCAATGGGAATATTTCCCAGTTCTCTTTTCTAAGATCTACTCAGAAAAGATGTATATATGAGGTCCTAGTTCTTCCTACTTTGAAGTCCTAATAACTATTTGTTAGCGTACCAAAACCAAATGCAACTGAGCATCAAACAAACATACTTTACTATTCTGAAGAAGAGTAAATAGTGAGATTGAGAACTTGTTTTTCTTCACCAACTTGCCTCAGTAGAAATCATTTGACCTCAAAGTCTGTTTTGTCCTGTGCAAAATAGAAAGAAACTTGTTAAAAGTAATGATGAATCCATTGCTATATATGCCTCCATATCTTTAAAGCTCTCAGGTCAGATAAGTGATATATTACAAGTATGAGTGAACATTATTATTAATTAAAATGCTATATGAATATATGATCCTAAAAAAGGCAATAAAATTTTCTTTGAGAATAATTAAATTATCCTGAGTAATAACCTTTTCCAATTATTTTTATATATTACTTCTGAAGAATTTTTTTCTAACCAAATATACACTAGAGAGAAAAAAATTCACAAGAGCCAACTTCCTAGATAATTACATGGCAGTTAACTAGTGACAAATTTAGAATTATAGATTCTATGCACAAAAATATAGAAATATCCAAATTAAAAATAAGAATTTGAAATAGATATTTATAGACAAGTCCTTAACTTGTACGCGTATTTAACATATAACTCAGTCTAGTAGAAACTTCTTTTTGACCCCAGTGACCTCTTGACTCCTCTCCCCATGTTCTCCTCTTTTCTATGCTAGCCCAGACCCTGTCTCCCTAGATGAGATGGATAGCGAGCTCATTACCCTCACCACCCTTATTCTCCTCTCTCCCAGCATCCCTAGTGCCTCATGGCCAGAGCTGGTACCAAGAAAGAAATGATAGGAAGATGAAGAGAAGAAAAGGTCAGAAATCCTCATCTTTCTATTCTGTAGGAATATTCCGTGACATTGGGCAAATCAGTTATCCCTCTGGGTGTCAATTTTTTCATCTGTAAAAATGAGGATGGTATTGTGGTAAATTACTTCCAATAGGCAACCCTTCAAGCTCTAACTATAAGCCTATGAACTACAAAAGGTTAGTGACCTTCTCCCATACAAAGTCTAAACTCTGAGCATATTTTTCACTAGCAACATTGTTATATCTGGGGGTTAGATTTATTGTTCAGCAAGTCCTCTCCTCCCCATATATGTTTTGATATGGCAGCTGTGTCAGCTACACCCAGGGTCATGGTGCAGCTATTTGGAGCCCATGACTATGCAATTCATAACTCTGTCTCAAGGTCAGACCAAACAGATAATGAAATCAGAGGGGGGAAAACATTTAATAAAACAGTCTAACAAAGTAAATCATAGAAAACTGGATCAAGTTTCAAAAGTTTTTAGCACCTATCCCCAAATGGCTGCCACCTCTAATTATTAGAGTAATAATACATTATTGAGCTACTTTTTCCTATGGGGAAAAAAGAATTCTTAATTTTAAACCCAATTATTGACTTCTTTGTTGTTGTTCAGTTGTATATGACTCTTTATGATCCTGTGGACCATAGCATGCCAGTACTGTCCATAGAGTTTTCTTGGAAAAGATACAACATGTTTTGCCATTTTCTTCTCCAGTGGATTAAGGCAAATAAAAGTTAAGTGGCTCAGAATCATGCAGCTAGTGTCTGAGGCCACATTTGAACTCGGGTCTTCCTGACTCCAGGCCTAGCACTCTATCCCCTGAGCCACCTAGCTGCCTCCTACTGACATCTCACCCATCCTTTAAAGCCTAACTTAAATGCTATTTCAAGTACTTTTCACTGATTTTCCTCGATTATTACAGACTCTTCCAACTCCAATTTTTCATAACACTTTGCACATTTATAATGCACTTTATTGTATGGTACTATCTGTGTATGTAGCATATGACTCTTTTAAACTATATACTCCATGAGGGCAAAGATTATTTCTAATCTAAATCATTTGTCTCTCTCCTTAATGTATACCAAATAGCTAAAAGCATTCAACTTACAAGGAGAATTATTGTAATGTAGCTTTAGTCAAATTAGGACTGCCTTTGTGTATGGTTGCATGACAGGTATGGGATTGCCTATATATGTGGTTATATGTAGATGACATGCCAACAGACTTGTTGGCAAGTACTATAAACTTGGCAAAATTGAGTCTTGAATTTACAGTGAGAAGGGACCTCAGAGCTCATCTAGTCCAATCCCTTCTATTTTAGACACGAAGATACACCAAGGTGAGGTGCCTTATACAAGGTCACATATTAAATGGCAAATCCCCGATTCAAACCTGTGTCCTTTCACTTCAAATCCATCATTCTTAACACTGTACTATACTGCTTCAGAACATTCATTTACAAATATTCAGTTTTTTAAACTTAACTATAGCTGATCAATATACCTTTTTATCCTCAGTGCTTAGTACAGTACCTGACACACAGTAAGTGCTTAATAAATGATGTCAACTGACTATAACAGACAGCCCAAATTTGAAAGTATCATTCTTACTATGTATATCACATTAAGCTGGTCTCTGGAGAATCTAATAGATTGTTTGACTAATTCTGAACATCAATCTGTCATGCGACTGGCTCAGCTCACCACAAGAGCAAGGATCCTATACTAACCTTGAAGGGATAAGACCAGCTTAACCTTCTATCTCGAATGCGCATTGATGAGGCGGAGACAAGATGGAAGCAACTCCTTTTAATTTTAACAAAGCATTCACTTAAGTAGTAAAATAACAGGAACTTCTTCTCAAGTCACGATAACATAGAGCTCATGCTGTGCTAAGGACAGTGCATGCAAGTCCTGTGCACTTATTTGACTCCAATTACAGATAAACTGCTAATGACCATACAATAACTAGGGGAGTTAAAGACTGTTAAAGATCCATATAATGGAGCACCAAACCAGGCGACCTTTGCTCATAGATCAGCACCCGAGAGGCGCCTCCGCCCATCAGTGAGACCTCACGAACAGCCTGTGGCCCTCAACATCCTTACAGATCCCTAACATCAATCTATATAGTCTTTCTACCTTTCTTCAATAAGGCATGTTCAGAGTGACTGAAGTTCTCTTTTCCAATTTGAACAAAATATAGAACCCAAAGTAATTGTGGCTGCTTAAGGAACTCTGCAAACTATTTTAGATTGAAGGTATACTTGTCCAGGAGTAGCATGATAAAGAGGGCAGACGTGTAGCATGGTACAGTAGAAATAGGACTGGTTATAGAGGCAGAGTATCTGAGTTCAAATTCTGCCTCTGACTATCTGTCTATCCATCCATCCATCTTTCTATCCATCTATCCATCCATCTATCTATCTATCTATCTATCTATCTATCTATCTATCTATCTATCGATGGTTGTCCTTTCTTGAAGAGGACCAAAATGACATCACTATGCTAGAGTCAAATTTCAGTGTCTGACTGTGGCTGATCAGCCCAATATGAGCTCTGAATGTTCTACCATAGGTTGGGCACAAATAGTCCATGTGAATATTTGGGGGGAATTCTCTAAATTTGTGCATGTTGCATTTCTTGTGAGCTATTTCAATTCTGTTTTGCTCATAGAGCACAGCACTTTCTCTGATGTGGGCATGCTATACTTGGCAGTTCTGTGCCAGTGTCTTCCGTGTCACACAATCAATTCCAAATTTCTTAAGAGAGACCTTGGGAGTGTCCTTGCATCACTTTTTCCAACCACCATGTGACCACTTGCTCTGTGTGAATTCTCAACAAAAATAGTCTTTTTGGCAAGCATACATTTTGCATTGGAACAATGTGGCCAACCCATCAGAGTTGTGCTCTCTGAAGTAGAGTTTGAATTCTTGGCAGTTTAGTTCAAGAAAGGACCTCAGTGTCTGATATCTTATCCTGCCAGGTGATCTTCAGAATCTTCCTAAGACAATTCAAATGGAAGTGATTCAGTTTCCTGGCATGGTGCTGGTAGACTGTCCAGGTTTCACAGGCATACAACAATGAGGTCAGTACAACGGCACTGTAGACCTTCAGTCTGATAGTCAATCTAATACCTCTTATTTCCCACATCTTCCTTTTGGAGCCTCCCAAACACCGAGCTAGCTCTGGCAAAGCATATGTCAACCTTATTATCAATGCGTACATCCCTGGAAAGTAAACTACCAAGGTAAGTAAACTTATCCATAGCATTTAAAACTTCTCCATTTGCTGTAACCAGTGGTTCCACCTACTGATTGGATGGTGCTGACTGATTTTTTTTGTATGTAAATAGTTATTTATATGTTGTCTCCCTGATTAGACTGTGGGCTACTTTAGATCAAGGTCCATCTTTTGCTTTTCTGTATATTCCCATTTTTAGCACAGTGCCTGGCACATAGTAGATAATAAATGCTTATTGATTGACTGACTTCTGAACTTCAGTTTCCTACCTTGTAAAGTTGGACTAGATGGCCTCTGAAATCTTTGCTGGCTCTAGAGCTTTGATCCTATTCTTCCTGTTCCCATTTCTGCCCTCGGCCTGGGCCCTGATCCTGATTCTGTACTGAAGTTTGCTGTCTAGTATAATGCTGCGAGATCATAAGGTGAGGCAAATCCCAGCTATTCCCTCCCCACCCCCACCCCTAAATATACCTTTACTATCTGCGGTACACTAACTAATATTGCTATCTCAAAAATAAATACCATCCTATGTACTGGAGATCAATCAAATAAAGACAATTATAATTCAATTCAATAAAATAAACGTCTATTGCCTATCTTAATTCTACAGGGTTTGGTAATGGTGAAATGCAGCAGGTACTGTCATAGATATAAAACCATAAAGAAATGAATGCTCTAGAAAGACAAAATACTTGGAAATATGGAAGTGAAATTAGGTACTAAACCAAAGGTTAGGAAATGAATATGTTCTGCCTTTCTCTTTGATTTTCTTCTTTTCCTAGCTCCCCTTCCACCCGACATTTCTAGTACATTCTTTTGAGATTACTTTCCATTTCCATATCTCTCTTGCATTAATAGTATTTTGCATATTAACTCCCCCATTATTAGAATGTAAGCTCCTTGGGGCTGGGGGCTTGTTTATGCCTTTTTTTTTTGTATCTGCGTTGCTTAGTCCAATGTCTGACACAAAGAAAGAATTTTAAAAATGGCTGCTGACTGAGCGACTGAAAGTGTCAGCTGCTGCCTAGGAGCTCAGTCATCTGATATGAGGAGAAGATGGAAATCAGGTGCCAGGGCCAGCCCTGGAACAAGCTGTGAAATAGGAAGAACTGATAAAGCCTTCCATTTAGGGATTCTTTTCTCCCTTCTGTGAAATCTCTATTCCTTCAGGTGTTCCATAGTGTGCTTCTCTTCCCCAAACTGGGAGGGGCACGGCCTGGCACGGCAGGGAGAAACACCATGTCAGTCATTTACACTATAAGGTGAGTAGTTTAGGCCAATGTGTCACTTTTCCCAGAGGGATTTGAAATTGGGAATTGTATTTCTAATTGTGGAGTTAAAGGTATTACCTTCTCTTCAAAGTGTAGCAGGAATCACTGAGCAGGTAAGAATCTTAAAGAAAGTAGCACCTGAAATCACAGCATGTAGATGGTTGCCTTTCTTCTTTGTGGTACAGTGGGAAACATACTAAAATAGAACCCTCTGTTCTAGTTCCAACTGGCTTCTAATACAGTTCTTCTCCTCACTGGCCATGGAACCTTGATCAAGGTGTTTAACCTGGAAGAGGAAGCTTGGTATCATGGATAGAGCATTGGACTCAAAGTCAGAAAGACCTGGGTTTGAATCTTATCTCAGACAATTACTAGCTGTGTCCTAGGGCAACTCACTTAACTTCTCTTGAACTCATCATAAAATTAAGCATTTGGACTTGGTGACCCCTAAGATTGTTTCCAGCTCTAAATCTGTGATGCTGTCATCCTTAGCTTACTCTTCAAGGCCTCCAGTTCTAACATTCTTTCATTCTGTGTAAGTCTGACCCTACTGGAAAGGATTGACATTGGCAAATGATAGAGCCTATGGAGATGTTACAGGCCACATAGATGCTTACAGGCCCAGTGATGATTTAGAAGCATTTTGCAGTGGTCAATGATTAGAAAGGCAATATGAAATAGTGGGTAGAAGACAAGTCCAAGAGTCAAGAAGACATGGGTTTTGGTCCTGCTATTTATACATAATAATGGGGTGACCATCAGCAAAACCTCTTAGTGTCCCCTTGCAACCATGGAAGGTTAGATGTTACAGATTATCTGTAGGAATTCCCTCATTTAAAGTTCCCTATTAAAAAAAAATTAAGTTCTCTACTAATGAAATCCAGGCCTCTAAAAATATTATTAAAGAGAAAACTTCTTGTATACTACTCAGATGTAAAATTCTGGTGGTGGGACGTGATGGTCCAAACCCATGCAATAGGCATCTACTCTAAAGTTTTGTTGTCATCTCTAAACACATTTAGGATGTGCCTATTTGTTCATGGTAATATGCTAGACTGGAGATAAAATGAAGTACAAAACAAGTTATTTTTTCTTCCATGACCTTACTATTTATGACATAGCACAGCATCAAAACAAAACATATGAACAATTGCAAATGGTTATGGTTATGTAAATGATATTAATAAATAAATGATGAATGAATGATGAATGAATGACTTTGATTTTCAAACTGGAGAAAGGGATGGTATGTATCCGTTTCAGAGTACAGCTTTTTACAGTCATTTCCAAGAATAGAGAGAAGACAATCATGGAAAAGACGGTATCTGGGTGCTGCTATTCTGATAATAAATTATGTGGAGGGCACTGCCCCGCTGACACCAGAATACAACATTGGCTCTCCTCCAAGGTGTGGGAAGCAGTGGCTCCTTCATACCCTGTAACTCCCTCTCTTCTCCCAACTCTAACACTTTCTCTCTTTGCACATAAAATTAGCTTAGAAGAGTGTTGGCACCAATGATTATGGAGGTCAGGGCTGGCCTCAGAGAGTGTTGCTAAGTAGGTGAAATTTACCTAAGGTATACCCTCCACCCCATGCTTATCCCTCTCTCAAGTACCCAACACTTCCACTAACTCCTGATTGTCCAGGTTGGCACCCCACAAGACTTACCCTGTGTAGGCAGACAAAGAATACCAGTGAACCCTTTTTTTTTTATGTAATTGGGGTTAAGTGACTTGCCCAGGGTCACACAGCTAGTATGTGTCAAGTGTTTGGTCTGAGGCCGATTTGAACTCAGGTCCTCCTGACTTCAGGGCCGGTGCTCTATCCACTGTGCCACCTAGCTGCCCCCCCCCAGTGAACCCTTATTCTGATGTTTTCCCCTTGAAATTTACCTGTTCTTTCCCATTTCCAATTCCTGTATCCTGCTGTGTCACTGGCTGGCCAATTTAATAAGTGTGTTTGGAAAGTGATTACAGTATATCTACTTGACTTAGTTTTGTCTTTCTTGAGGTCAGATAAGTCTTGAGGCTTGTTTCCAAACCATGTCCATGGTCATGATCTCTGACAGGGTCAAAGGTGGAGGGCACTAGACCTATTCTGTTTTTGTTCCCTTGTGTTTGGAGCTTCTGAGTTAGAGGATCTTTCCTGAAACTGAGAGACAGACTAATGTAGTAGAAATCTTACCTTTGTCGCTACCTGTGTGGCTTTGAGCATCCCCTTTCTGGACCTCAGTTTCCTCATCTGTGAAAGGAAGAGGTTGGACTAGAATCCTTAATAAAAGGATTTGTTCTACAAAGTTTGGATTCAGTCAAAGGGTCACACTTGAGGACCTATAGGGCCACATGTGGCCTCTAGGACACAGGTTCCCCATCCCCGATCTGGATAATGTGTTAGGTCCCTTTTACCCCTTAATCTATGGGCATAATATGAACCTTTTCATCTGTCATGTGTATCTAGAACCATGGCATTACTTGGGGGTAATTTTAACTGGGAAACAGTCTAAGAACGGTGCCAGAAAAAGCAAATTACTGACTGCCGTGGTTATGTATATCTGTCTTAGGGGCTTCCTATACTGATTGAGTAAAAAATCAGAGTGAAAGCTGCTTCAGAAACTATTTAAAACCACCCTATGATGCTGTGTGGTCTTATTCCTTGTATGAGATCAACTCTAAAAGACATTCTTATGGTCTAATTTTCTTTTGTTATGGTCTTTATCATCTATTTTTCTAAGTCTGTGAAAATCCGCTAACAGTATTTGATTTAAAGCAATAAAATCCAGCTCTGATCAAGGAAACTAAGTATGAATTAAGGTATCAGTGATGAACGATGATTTAACGTATTATTCTTCTCAGATAATATTTATATTTTAATACTCTTTCCACACCACTGGCCTTAATTGCAACCGTTAGTTACTAACATAGATAGTAATGGTAAGGATTTCAGAAACTGGTAAGACAAAAAGGGGGATCATTTTGAGCAGGGAAGTTTTTCAACACCACTGAAATTATACCATGTGGCCCTAACAGAGGTCATTGGCTAGTTGAGAGTGAATGAATGAATTATTTTCTTTAATGAAGTATAAGTGCACTTTAAGCAGAGAATAAGAGTGAACTTAAGATGCAACATTTTTTTCCTCCTTTCCTTGGCTCCAAAGAAGCATTAGAATACTAGTCTATCTCTGCTAGACCGGAATGGTAGAAATATATACAATATTGGTAAGGAGGAGGCAAACTTTATAGTATAAATCACCAAGGATAACAAGTAAAAGAGGTTGTCTTGTTAGTTGCATTTTTTTTAGAAATAATAAATTCTGGAAAGTCTTCAATGGAGGGGATGAATAATCTTGATAGGCTATGAGGGTGAGTATTCAAAGGAAAAAAATGCAACTTAGAATAAAAGTTCAGGGAGGTTGGTATGTGATATTACTAATTTCTCCCAGATAGGAAGGTTTTCCAAAGAAACAACAGAGGCAACTAATTGGGAGGTTATAAGAATGAAGGAAGTAGAACTCATAGTTTAGGTAATCTGAAGACAGTTTAAACAATCAAGAAGTATTTATTAAGCATTCCGTTGTGTGCCAGACACAGCGTTTGGTGCCAGGGATACAAAGATAAAAATGAAATTGTTTGCTCTCATAGGCTTTATATACTACCAAGAAGGGAACTATTTCCCACCTCATTTTCATATTCCCTTAAGCCCACCAATTTAGCATTCTAGGATATATGCTGTAAGGGTCAAGTTGAGAATTTTAGCAGCTTGGAGTCCTTTACTTTCTCACCTTTAGGCCCATTCCCCATGACCCCTGGAGCTAAATATAGTCTGGCAGCTATCTAGCAACTTGTGAAGTTAAAACTGAACTCCCTTTATACCCAAGGGGGATGAAGTGTGGTAAAGCCAGAAGTGGGGATAATGCATTGAGGCTAAATGGACAGGATGTGTATCCCCTGGCATTCCACCCTGCCTAGGTCATTAAAAGTCCAAATGCTGCTTTGATCTGCCAGGGAGCTGGGAAGTTAGCTGCAAAGAGGAAAGCTGATTGGAGACGTGCTGTCACAGAAGGATGTTGGGATTCATAGCGGTTATGTAGATTCTCAAAAAGCTGAACATTACATTTTAAGTAAAATGTGGTTCTCTTCCTCTCCCCACTAACATTTTTGCAGTGCTTATTTTAGTAATTGTAAAGAAATAAAAGGCATAATTTTTTCCAGGGCAAATGCCAATCAGTGCAAAGCAGGTAACTTGTATTTTGTCTCTTTAGATAATACAACTGAATTAGTCACTTTTTAGGTCTCAAAGAAAAAGTGGAACATTATAATGCATATCCTGTTTCGGTGAAATACTGTGCGTTAATTGGAGATACAGACAAGGCCAGCCACCTCCAAAGAGATTAAATTTTCAGATGAAAATGTCATCAGTGCTCAGCTGAGTCAAGGATCTTGGTTGCTTGCCTTGAAATATAACACTTGAGCTTAAATGATTCAGTGTGATGAGACCTGACCTGGATTTGCAAGGTTATAAGTGATTGGTTTTCTTATTTTTTTTAATGGAATTAGTAGCCCAGAAAGTAATAGTACATTAATAAGAGTCTTGTGGAGATAACTTTTTTTGTAATTTAATTTCACTTCATTTTTTTTTCAGCTAGCCACTTGTTATACTTAATTCATTCAAGCGTGATAATGAAATTTAAGGAAGAAGCAATATGTATTTTGGATTATATATCTTATTATGGTATTGATGTTTCCTAAAAATTTATGAAGAGGGGCAGCTAGGTGGCACAGTGGATAGAGCACCGGCCCTGAAGTCAGGAGGACCTGAGTTCAAATCTGGCCTCAGACCAAATACTTGATACTAACTGGCTGTGTGACCCTGGGCAAGTCACTTAACCCTAATTGCCTGAAAAAAAAATTATGAAGAAAATAAAATTTTATTGAGTATATATCAGATGTGGAGGTCAAGAGCATATGCATCATAGGTGGAACCATAGATTCAAATAAAGCAAATCACTTAAATATAATGTATGGAAATGTCATAGATCCTGAGGAAGCAGAGAAAATGAAAAGAAGAGGGTTCAGTTGAAAAATATTGTGAAGCAGGATTCCCACTCTAATGGCAGTGCAGA